GAAGAACCTTAATATTGAAATCACCGGTTATAATTGTCTGCATATTAAGATCAACTGCGTTACCTATTGATTCATCGATCAAATTCCAATATTCGGAGCTCTTGTCGGCGCGATAAACAGTTCCAATCAGGTAGTTTCTTGTTTTACATTTAGTCTGTATCCATATCGCCTCAAGTCCGACTATATCTAAATCAGACATCAACAACGCACAAATAGTATCTTTTACATAGACTGCTACACCACCACCGCGAGTTTGTCTGTCTTTACGGAAAGGTAGATGGAAGCCAGGATTTTTATATCAATGTTATTTGTATCGGAAGTTAACCAAGTTTCGGTTAGACATATCACATCATAAAATCCAAGTTCAACTCTTAAAATATCTAATTTCTCCTTAAGACTACGTACATTTAGATGGACTATCCTTAAAGCATTTGTGCATTTAGGTCCTGGATTAGGATGAATATCTCCACAGCACAGTAACAAAAGTGAAATCATTATGGAAACACAACTGCCATACAGACAACGAAATTTGAATAGATATTGATAAAGAGCAAATTTACCTGAGTGTTTAGAATGAAGTGCTGGAGCAAATGTACCCACTGCCTGTCTATATTGTGATATTTCAACCGACATCGAAAATTAGAAACTGGTGACAAAAATAGTAGACAGTGGGTCTTGAGGATGCAAAACTGCATAGGCACACACCAACATCATAACTTAATGATATAATGCGTAAACAAAACAAGGGCATTCTTTTCTTGTCACATTCATAACAGAAATAATCAAACAAACAGAAGAGGAAAGGGTAAAAAAGGAAATACAAAGACAAAAACATTTGTCTATTTTGTGAAAGGAAAATTCGAGAAAATTTCATATATATAATGTTTTCAAATTGCCTATAAATGAAAGTCATATCAATTGCCCAAAATATCTACATCAAAACATAGTTAACAGTAGTGAGAAGATTTGTATCCGTGTCGACGCATGTGCATGTGCGAGAGAACACGATGTAGGCGCTTAGCACGAGAATGTGTGCGTGTGTGTGTGTGTGTTAAGGATGCATGTTCAGGGCACGACCAAGACGGACTGGATACCTGTGCGATTAGATGCATGGTGTTGTGAAACAACGTGAGTACTGCTGTTTGTTACATATCCTATTCTATATAGACATATTCAATGCTTTACCATAGACGGAAATAAAAAGGATAATGTAAAAAATGTATAATACTGATTTGTATAGTACAGTAGTTGAGTCAAGTGTTAATTGACACAAATAGCTTATTGTGCACATTGTATGAATGCAAAATACTATAAATATATTGAACGTAGCACGATCACTCATGAGTATGTTATTGAGATCATGGTGACCTCTTATGTCATAATTATCAAATCAAAACATAGCGTCCATGCGCTTTAAAAAATGAAGCCGTAAACGTGTCAATTTCATATAAGCGATTGTTTAACAGGTTGCGATTTAAACACACACACACACACACACACACACACATATATATACACCCGTGACCATACACACACTTACATATATACATGTATACACATAAACATACATACAAATACATACACATACACATATAAACATATACACACATACATACATATATATACATAGAAAGAGAGAGTTAACCTTTAATCATATTCATATCAATTGCCCAAAATATCTATATCATATCATAGTTAACAGTAATGGGGGCGGTGGGGTAGCCTAGTGGTTAAAGCGTTGGCTCGTCACGCCAAAGACCCGGGTTCGATTCCCCACATGGGCACAATGTGTTAAGCCCATTTCTGGTGTCCCCCGCCGTGATATTGTTGGACTATTGCTAAAAGCGGCGTAAAACTAAACTCAGTCAGTCAGTTAACAGTAATGAGTTTGTATCCATGTCGACTCATGTCCATTGCGAGGGACCACGATGTAGGCGCTTAGCACGAGAATGTGTGTGTTAAGGATGCATGTTCGGGGCACGACCAAAACGGACTGGATACCTGTGCTATTAGATGCATTGTGTTGTGAAACAACGTGAGTACTGTTGTACTGTTGTTTGTTACATATCCTATTCTATATAGACATATTCAATGCTTTACCATAGACGGAAATCAAAAGGGTAATGTACAAATGTATAATAATGATTTGGATAATACAGTAGTTGAGTCAAGTGTTAATTGGCACAGATAGCTTATTGAGCACATTGTATGAATGCAAAATACTATAAATGTATTGAACGTAGCACGATATAATACTGCTAATTTCATTTAGGCGAATATTTAACGGGTTATGACCTCAAAAGAATCTATAATAACCAGTAATCATAATCAAACATACCGTCCATGAGTTTAGAGCGTAAAAAACCCCACAAAAATAAATAAAAATAAATAAATTAAAGCATCACCTGATTGTAGCCCAACATTTACCAGGTTCAGAACCAAAAGAGAGTACAACACATGATTGTGAAGCTTCAAAGAAATACCATGCCGCTGACACTGAACATATAATTACAATACCAGTACTATCAGTTATGGGTTGATATAGCATTAGAAAAAACAAAACAAAAAAATCAACAGACAATCATAATGTCATAATAATTCACACATCAACTTTTGAGGACACAATGTTAGTCCATAGAAAGTCACAGATCAATATTATAGTCTTTTTCCTTCCTGGTGCCTCCTTAAACGCAGGATTTGATAGACACTTACTTTTGTGCTGTTACTTGAGACCTTTCATCTCGGTGCTCCTCATGAATACTGGACAATCACAGACAACACTGATCACATTCCTCTTTCCATGGGCAAGTGATATTGTACCATGTGAACACTGACACATAACATTGTATATTGACACTTTAACACCAATTGTAATTTGACACCTCCACCGTTGGTAACATTCCAACTTGGTATTGTATAGTGTACTCCCAACATGCCAATGTGCATGCCACATTATGTAGTGTCACTTTTATAATATATATTAGCAATAGACAATATGTTCTATCTAAGAGTGAACAATTATAAACATGATGAAAGGATAGTTTGTCATTGTGTTTACAGTTAGTGTGAGAAGAAACATATTCATTTGGAGTTAGTGAGAGTCCTGGCCCAGCGAAATTACCATTGTCAGTCTAGTTTGATCATGGACTTCTTGTAAAAGGGTCTTTGTAGCAACCTTTTTAAGCTTTCCGTCCTTGAACTTCACCAGGATGACTCCCCCCGTTACCCAGGTGGATTCTATCTTCCCCTCCTTCACCAGGCGTCCGGCTTCTTTAGCTAGCAGAGCTCTGGTTTTGGTGAGGTTTTCATTAATGAAGGTTTTACTGACAGATCGTTGTTTGGTCTTCAGCTTGGATGATCGGTCTTGGATGGGACTGGGGCGATGGAGGAAACCTTGGCACTCGATGACTGATATCGATGTCTGCCGGGGAGAGGTCAACACCGATAGATTTTGCGATATTAAGAACCATCTCATCTGTGTTCTCACCAGCTACCTCTGGGACACCAGTAATTCTGACGTTATTGCGCCGTGAATATTGTTCCATCCTGTCAACTTTGTCATTTAAAGTTACGATGAGTTCATCTTTTTCATCTACTTTGACTTTAAGCTCTGTAACCTGCATTTCGAGCTATTTATTTTGTTCGAATAGTTGAGATATTTCCTCTCTGAAGGTGGGTTTAATAGCTTCGCCTACTGCTCTGCCGATAACAGAGAGTATCTCATTATTCTGCAGGGCTACAAGTAGCTGTTTTACGAGTTCACTAGTAGGGGATGACTCTTTAAATACAGCTTCTTCTCGATACTCCATATCATGTCTGAGTCTATGGTCCTTCGAGTTGAACATCAGCTAGAGACTTGGGTAGGTTTGGTAGAACTTTGCTTCTGTGCCGGTAGAGGGAGGACTTTACACTCGAGAACGATCGTACAGACGCTGGGTCAGCAACCTCGGACAACTCTTCATCGTACAGCTGCCGAATGGATGTGACGTCCTCCTGTACACGCTGACGCAGTCTGCTAAGTAGTCGAATCTCATCTTCAGATTCCACTGGGACATGGTTGTGCGGTGTTGTTGATTTCATGAAGTCTCCAGTTGTAGAACAGCGGCCTTTGCATTCAGAATGTACACACTTCCTATGTTTTGTGGTCTGTCGTCTGACGTTGAGGCGATATCGGTACCCAGCAAAGAAAACTTGCTGTCCTCCTGCTTGAGAAGTGATGAATTGAACGCGTTGAACATTTGCCATTGCGTGATGGATACAGTTGGTTCCCCTTCTAATTTATTAGGAGTTTAATTAACTGAGAAGATGAGATCTGCTCAACAATTTAGTCCTTACCATGTTTTTCGGCATAATCTGACAAAGACAGACAAAGCCTGTAACAACATAGTTAAAACTAGCCTTCCCAACTTGATCAAATAGGATTAAGTTAATCCTGCTTTGGAGGTTACAATATAAGCATGCTAACTGCTTCCCAAAACAAAATAAAACAATATCATTGTACTTGTCTTGTAGTCTTTATTGGATGAAAAGACTCAAAACATACTATACACAGAAGTAGATGCACAGATATATACTAATATAATCCCCCTAATTATCCCTTACTCCAAACGAAGCACCCTTTGTTCATTGATACTCGGGCTGTTCCATTATTCTACAGGGCAAGAAATCATTTCCCACGCTGCCTACAATATTTGTGTTGGCAGTTTGGGATGTAGGCAGTTTGGAACTGTAGGCAGTATGGGACCTAACCATGAAGGGAACTGAACCCGGGTCGTCGGCGTGGCGAGCGAATGCTGTAACCACTAGGCTATCCCACCGCCCCCATCACTACAGACAACATGATGCTAGACCTAACGGTACTACTCGTCGCCCTGAAATAAGACGTATAACATTCACTGGGTAACTGCTTAGTTAACGTTCCTTCTGAAACTCAAGTTTAAGTATTTATAGTTTCAAAGTAAACTTTAAATGAGAAACAACAAAAATAATAGACCACTTACTGTGACGTGTAATGAGTATTTCTTCATTAAAACAGATCGCTGCTACCAGCTGGAGTTGAATTTATACACGTTCCCACACATCCATTCCTTCATGGTCCATGATTCTATTGATTTCCCAGTACAATGTACCGTGCTCCGTGATTGAACCGTGCTACCGTATCTTCAGAAATACCAGATCATTATGACCAATGGTACTGATAGGAAACCATATGCTAGCAACATCTAATGACACAATGGATTGTAATGATCAAATGTATCTGAAAACCTTGATATTGACGAATCGGTACTCTGAATGGAGAAAACATGTAGCACATTCACGTGACTTAATTCACTAAAGTTATGACAAAATAATCGATGTTGCAATCTGATTTTCACTTTGGCCCGAATTTTAATAGAACAGTATAGGGCCCGAAAGTAGGTCATGACACTTCGCGAGACCTTAGTACTTCCGTTGACAAACAACGTTTCATACCTTTTCAAATGGTCTCATGGTTGTCAGTTGACCATAAGGAACCGATAAATCTTGCAGGAATAACAAATTTCATTAGTGAAGGATACAGTATTGAATGTGGAACGAGGACTATTTTTATGGATATACAACTTCTTTATTCTATATAGGCGACGTTTCGACATAGATTCTAATGTCGTTGTCAAGCAAGTGGTGTTCTCGGAGTCGCTTCAGCAGGGCTCTGTGTTCTCTCTGCAGCCGGGCGGTGGGGTCTTTCTTCATCTGCTGGTAGGTGTTGGAGGCGCTGAGGATGTTGTCAGTGAGGGTCTCAAAGTCGGTTGTGTCCATTATGACGGTTGCTCTACCTTTGTCAGCTGGGGCGAGAGTGATTCAGGATCAGCTCTGAGTTTCCTCAGGATCTGTCTTTGAGCAACGACGTTAGAATCAATGTCGAAACGTCGCCTATATAGAATAAAGACTGACTGACTGACTGAGTGAGTGACGAGCCAACGGTTTAACCATTAGGCTACCCCACCGCCCCTATAGAATAAAGAAGTTGTATATCCATAAAAATAGTCCTCATTCTTCATCTACTCAACTTCTAGAATGCCAATCAAAGTATTGAATGTGGTTCAATAATAACCCTAACTGCGCAATCCTTCAAAAACGTTAAGACACGCCTCAGATAAATTGTCAGAATTTGAATTTGTTTCAATTTCAATTTTGAAATATCCAAATATAGCCTTCTGTAAAACCCCTGCATACATTAAATTTGCAAAGGGAATGGGAAGGGGTTTTGAGTAACTAAAGAAGGAGACTTTAGATAAGATCTGTTACTTTTGTATTTTAAGGCACCGAGTTATACGTGCTGGGAAGTAGTGATTGATCGACATACCCATCAATTGTAGTTGCCCATGGCCCCATAGCAAGACGAAAGGATCGATTGCAATAATTATTATTTAAAAGTCAATTGTTAGAACTGATACCGTTCCATTAATATTGTGTATAGATTTAATTATATGAATCAACACCCTCACTTAGTAGAATTGAAATTGGAAATGTATTCCATTCCTAGCGAGACACTCATTTTCTGAAACGGTGCGTATCCGAGCTATGTTATGCTCTCTTTTTCTCAAGGGCGGTGTGGTAGCCTTGTGGTTAAAGTGTTTGCTCGCCACGCCAAAAACCCGGGTTCGATTCTCCACATGGGTGCAATGTGTGAAGTCCATATTTGGTGTTTCCCGGGTGATATTGCTGGAATATTGCTAAAACTAAACTCGCTCATCCCTAAGAACTAGTAAATGGTAGACAAGCGAGACATTGGCATGTTTAACATTGGTAATGTCAGGCATGTTTGAAACTATTTTAATGCTGATGCATGCGTTGTTGTATTTTCTCTCTTTCAAGCCCTTGCCTCCATTCATTTTGCGTAAGCTCTCCTGTGGAGAGTGAGTGAGTGAGTGAGTGAGTGAGTGAGTGAGTGACCAGAAAAAACACTTCCAGGATCAACTGAATCCTTTTTCCCGCATTTGTATATCATAACATATACATCATCACTATATATCAATCTGTACGGTTCATAGTTTAAGATTATCGGCATAGTTGTAGCTGTAAATTACTTCAAAGAGATGTGGTGGAATATATACTAGGTACATAAAGAAACTGTGCGTACAAAAATTTAAAATCTAAATTTATCAAACCTGTGTAGACACGTAAGGATTTAAACTCAGAGATTAGTGACATGTATCCAACATGCATTCACGTGCCACGTTCCGTGACGTCAGTGGGTTCGTCCTTGAGACGTGCAATACGTTGTTGCACGTGCATTCCGGGAAAGAGAAACAGAGCAAATGAATGCCACACAATACTGTCACTTTGGAAAGCTCAACCCCTGCCCTTGCGATCGTTCAAAAAATTAAACGGCTATTGAAACGCATAGCATGCCAAGGCTCACGTCTGCACAACGTCATGAGGCCATTGGGATGGTCCGTGGGGGAATGTCTCAACGACAAGTGGCTGCATATTTCCACTGCCACCGGAACACCATTTCTGCACTGGTGAGACGCTACCAGAACACAAATGACGTCATCGATCGGCCACGTTCTGGACGTCCACGTGTAACAACGCCAAGACAGGACAGATGGAGAAGGGTGACCCATCTTCGCCACAGGTTTCAGACTGCAGTGATGACTGCCCTAACCATCCCAGGACTTCGCCGTATCCACCCCAACACAGTTCGACAACGTTTACGTCATCACGGGATCAGACCACGACGTCCGCCATAAGGCCTATCCTGACACAACGTCATCGACACGCTCGCCGAATGTGGTGCCGAAATCATGTCGGCAGACCCTTGTTTTGGTGGAGAAATGTTGTTTTTACAGAGGAGTCCAGGTTTAACTTTTCCCATAGTGATGGACGTCAACGTGCCTATAGACGCGTGGGAGAACGTTATGCACAAACCTGTGTCTTGGAGAGGAATCGCTTTGGTGGTGGTGGTTCCGTGATGATTTGGGGTGGAATAACAGCACGCCAAAGAACTTCTTAGGTGATTGTTCAGGGCAAATTAACTGGTGTGGGCTACAGGGATCAGATTCTTCGACCTGTGGCAATTCCTTTTCTGCAACGTCATGGCCCTGGGTTAACATTCAAACAGGACAATGCCCGCCCTCATACGGCAAGGGTTGCTATGGATTTCTTGCAACACCACAACGTTGACTTACTGCCTTGGCCTACAAATTCACCGGATCTCTCCCTGATAGAGCATGTTTGGGACGAGATGGCTCGACGTCTACGCCGTCTTCCTCATCCGCCAGATAACGTCCTTGACCTTGCAACAAAACTGGCGTGACATCCCACAAGCCTTCCTTGCACGTTTGATAGGCTCTATGCGTCGTCGATGCACTGCTGTTCTCAATGCCGATGGTGGACATACCCGGTATTGCGCTTGTGACATGGTCGTTTGACCCCTGTCCCGCTTGTGGACTCGTGACGTCATTGTGATTGACTTTTCAATTGAAATTCTCCCGACTTGTTATGGTCTCATGATCCCTCCATTAAAGTTTATATGTACCTTTGAAATTGTTATCGTACTTAACAACTGGGATAATATTTTGACAATGCACAGTTTCTTTATGTGGCTAGTATATATACTTGGCGTCATTAATCACGGGACAAGCTATTGGTAACACACTATTTCCTAAAAGTTGTAAATGTTTTACACACTTTCATACCATACGGATAAACACATCACGCCGCTGAAATGTCATTATAACGTTCTTTAACGTCCGATACATTCGGTTACAAATGTCAATATGGAAATCCACCTGCCACTTAATGTCAATGATTTGCACGTGCAAGTCGCTCTATCCATGGAAAGTGGAGGACAATACACATGCATTGATGATTTTTCACTGTCGTTCACTGTTCAGGTACCTGTTTGAAATCACAGCTTAAAATAAGACGTGTTTGACACTTGCTGAAAAGGGTGAGGCTATAGGCCATTTGGAATCTGGTCAAACTCAGCTGTCCGCTTTAATGTGAGTTAGAGTGCTATTTGTAGACTGTAGCAGAGATTTCAGGCCAATAGGTGCGTGGAATGCACGTCGACCAGGTCGCCCCAGAGTCACAACAGTGCCAGATGATAGGCACATGAATAACACTGCGTTACTTAACAGAACACTTAACGCATCAGATCTTCAGACAGAACACTTCAATGTTATATACTACCCATCAAAAGTTTAGACTCACTTTAAGCTCTCACTATATGTTATGTATATACTGTATATGTGGTTACATCGAAGATCGAAGAATTTCTCCACTAACTTGTGGGGACCAACTGCAAACCTTATGCAGATGAATTGCACGAGGATCATGCATCAAATTGCTGAAAAGCATGTGCAAATATCGTGCATGTGAACAGCTGCGTTTTGGTGTAAAGTTTTGTTAAGAATTTTCATTGAGTTTCATCATTTATTGAACTCATGACAATAATCTTTTCAACGTTACGAATTTGTTTTACAATGCATCAGTTCATGTGTAAACAGTTCCCTTAAACTGTATAAAATATTTTGCAAAATCTACTTTAGATCAGTTGACTGAAGTAAGTGGTTACATTTACACTAGTGAGTCTAGACTTGTGATGGGTACCACATCACCCCACCACTATCATTTTTTTAAAGATATACTGAAAGCCATTAAAAATGCAATTTGACATTCATACTTTCTCTACTCACACTAATTTCAACATATATAAACCTAACTGGCAGATATGTTTTTAGTGAACATCTGTGAATAATTTCATCTGAAAATGTCCAGTCAACAACAACATCAGTGACGCAACAACGAGATCACACAAAGGAGGGGTCACTTGCAGTCAATATCGTGTGTGTCCACAGTGCTGCAGGGCCTGGGTGCAGGTAATGCAAGTGCACAACGTGTTTCATGAATGTGGTTGTGTTTCCGAGAAATGTCACATGTTCAGGACAACAAATACCAATTGCGTTTTAACAGGCTTACAGTATAATAATATAAAGGCAGTTAGTCCCGTGTCTTCTTCACACGACAACTGATCAGGGCTGACTTGCACAAAGCAATCTTAATTAGCACTACAGTGTTTGTAACTCCCATACTTTGACATAGACGGTCTTAGCCCTAAGATCGCTTTGTGCAGGTGGGCCCAGGTGTTCACGTCGCACAGGTAACAAGCGCAACCACCACATTTCGTCCTCAGATACCAATGAAAAGGCAGATACAGAAGCATACACGTGAAAAAAACATCACAAACGAGATAAAAGCAACAATGATTACCAAGGTTGTAAAT